ATATATCTATATCTATATGTATTTTTAAAAAAGATGACACCAGTGTATTGATGTTTGTATGACAGTCACAAAATACACAGCACAGCATAAAATTTCCTCACATCTTCTCACCCCTAGATTTTTGATGGATAAAGACAACTTTGCCTCCAAAAACGATGAGTCACAAGAGAATGCTGAGGACTTGCAATTTCCACTGTCATATTACTACATAGAATCTTCACACAATACTTACCTTACTGGCCATCAGCTTAAAGGGGAGTCCTCGGTAGAGCTCTACAGCCAGGTATGCAGAACTGGATTGTTATATAGTTTTCAACATGAACTTGTTTGTTTAACTGGCAAGTCGCAGAAACGTGACCTTTTGCTTTGAAAATCTAAATGTCCTAAACCCCTGCTTGCAAAACGTTGGAAAACATGATGTGTGGGAAAGCTGCCTGTAAGCACAGTTGTGCTCAAATGCCTTTTCTAAGGCAAAAAAATGGGTTTAGTTTGAGATTCATAGCATTTAGACACCAGTTGGTCTGACCCAACCTTCTAAAATTAGACTTTCCCACAGGAAAGACTGATCTAATATTTTAGTTCATTCAGATGTCAAAAACACTACTCAAATACTGTACATTGCACTGCAAAGACAAATTTCAAATGGAACTATAACTTCTAAAAACATTACTTCTAGGAATATTCTACATTTTTTTAGACTTTATGCCTGATTGGTGGTGAGCAGGAGGAGAACAATTTCTCCCTAAGGCATTTGGTTCTGTGTGTGTTTGTATATATATTTGTATGTCTGTGTATTTACCAAATGCTAGAGAAAGCATCAAACTTCCTGTGAGTAGTGTTTTCATTACTCTACACGTTAATGACTCGCCATTGAGAAGGGCTCATCTGGCATCCCATGTGCTGCTTCGCCTGGAGTTACGAGACACACAGGTGAGGCTGTGTTAGGAAAGCCCAGATAACATGATTGCATTGAATGCAATTGCAAAGGAGGCTGCACAGAGCGATGTGAGTGCTGTGTTGGTAATAGATGGGAAGTGAGACAGAGCTCAGCTGGCTCCAAAATTTGCTTCTTCCTGTCCCTCCAGTAGTTGTCACCAGAAGAGAAGGGGCACTTTGTTCTGGCGCAGTGTGTCTGGCTCTCACAGAGGTGGTGGTGTGCCAGCTATGGACACAACCGCCTGAAATCTAATTATTCAGGTTTTGAATAGGAGAAGTAATTTTTTTCTTTGTTCATGAATGTTTTTGCTGGAAATGGTTTTGATTGTCGAGATCTTTGTTTTCAGTAAAATACTTAATTGTAATACAGATAACTCTTTCAATGCTAGGCATGCTAAATATTGATAGCAATAATAAGCTGGGCTGCCAACAGATGGGTTGACTGACCTTTCCCTCCATCCTTCCTCTTTGCTTTTTTCACTGGTTTTCTAGCAAGTAGGGCTTTCTAAAATAAATACAGGAATAAATAAAAAATGGATGGATGGATGGATGGATGGACAGATGGATGGATAGATGGCTGTAAGTTAGCTTAATATCATTAAAAAGGATGGCCTGGTACATTTCCATTCTAACTATCCTTATGGAAGTTGTTCATAAGACATTCTTTCCAGACCTTCTTCTATTTAAAAAACTAACAACAACAACAAAAAGAACCAGCAAACAAACTGTAGATGCCGTGCCCATAAGCTGTCATGGTAGCAACCTGGAATAAATTGCCATGTTGCTTTGTGGTTGCTTTTGCAGGTAGAAATACAGAAACGTTTCTCTCCCTCAGAACATTAAGCTATACATTAAGAACCACTTCCTGCAAACAGATTCCACGTGTCCTGTAAGATAGCATGAATTTCAAAGCTTTATGGTACTCCTAAGAACAAAATGCTGTCTAAATTTGCCCACTCTTCCTCAACTTGGGGAAGGCAGTTAGCTGGGGACTGTAGCTTCTGTGGGCTATGTTTACTCCATAGAGATTGCTCTTTCCAGCACTTTTGCTGAATCACTGGGCTTTCATTTAGCTCTGCAATGTCTGTCTTCCACTTTGATGGCATGAGACTGTGGCTATATGTGCTTACACTGTTCAATTGCATTGTAGGTTCTTTTACAAGGCTGCAGAAGTGTAGAATTAGACTGCTGGGATGGTGATGATGGGATGCCTATCATTTATCATGGGCACACTCTTACTACTAAGATCTCTTTTAAGGTATGCTGGTAATTGCACATAGAAACAAAAATGAGAAGAAAATCAGTAACTTTTTCTGTAATGAAGGAAAGAATTCACCTACTAGAAAAGTACAAATCCTAATGGGCTAAATCCTAATAGAGTATGAACTATGGACTACATCAGACATGAACTCTTCAATTGTAAACATTAGGCTCTTCAAATTAGTTTTTGTAGCATATGTACTGTAATTTTTATTGTCAACATAACTAACATAAGTAGTTGTTACCAGTTCTGTTGTAATGGGATGCTAGGTTGATCTGTAGGAGCTTGTTTTGAAAGCAAATTGTGGATTCTTTCTTCTTAGAGGGGAAAACAGATGCCTTCTTTTCTCCCCTTTCAACTAACAGTAGGTTAACTGAATGCAGCAAAATAATCACATGTTCTTTCACGGTCCTTTCTTTCTCACAGGAGGTAGTTGAAGCTATTGATCGCAATGCATTTATCACCTCCGACATGCCAATTATCATTTCAATAGAAAACCACTGCTCATTGCCTCAGCAACGCAAGATGGCTGAAATTTTCAAGGTAGGCCATAAATTGTGGTAAATTATTCTAAGCACATGCCTTGGGATTTTCCATACTATATCACATGCCCTCGATATTCCAGAATGTATTTGGAGATAAGCTGGTAACGAAGTTTTTATTTGAGAGTGACTTTTCTGATGATCCCATGCTTCCTTCACCTGGCCAACTGAAAAGAAAAATTCTGCTTAAAAACAAGAAGCTGAAAGCCCATCAAACACCAGTGGATATATTGAAGCAAAAGGTAAAGTCCTTCCTTAATAGCAAGCAGTGAGACCTAACTTCTGTTAGAAATAATTCATTTGTTGTGTTTGAAGTTTTTGCCATTCCAATATGTACAGCAGAATAATCTAATGCATATTCATGCTTGGAGGACTCACAGTGGACTTGGAACACTTTCAAATAAGTAGACAAGACATATAGTAAAGTATAGTACAGCATAACAAAATTGTAGTGTATTTTAGTTTTATAATACTTCATAATATTATGATTAGCACCGCATGCCCTATGTGATAAGCATAAATGAAGTCGCACTCTGAGGCTATAACATTTGCTATTCATGTTTGTTGAGAAGTAGTGATATGCATTGAGTACATGTGTATATATGCAGAATGTAGTAATTTTTAATAGTATTCTGCTTTGTCTCTTTTTCCATATTCAAGCCAGGCAAATACTCTGTTTCTTAGTCGCTTTTGGGGGGACTCTGCTATTCACATAGTGCTTATGAGCACTATGAGCAATATGAGAATTTTTCTGGTTTCTAAAAATTAGGGCTGCATCTCTGGTACCCTCAATTTAACAATGTCTGTGGTTAGCCAGCAATTAGATTGAATCTTTGAAAACTAATTGCTTTTACCCAAAATGTAAACACAATTGAATTAGAATTGAATTCTTGTATCAGAATAAGTAAATCACACTGATTGTACCAGTATATGGGCATTCTCCATCTTTTAAAAAAGTTTCCAAAACAGCATACCTCAGAATGGAAAAAGGCAGTCTTGCTCTGAATAATGTGCAAAGTGGACATTTTCCCATAATTAATCAGGTTTCATATCTTTTTGGGTATTTTTCTACCAGTACACATTTTCTTCATATTCAAAGCCTTAAAATGGTATTTTAGTTTGATCTTAACGATCTTATTTATTTCTCATATATAATCAGTGCTTTCATATAAATAAGATGCAAGATGCAAGCAGTGATGAAAACTCTTTTGCTTTTTAAAAATACTTACCAATAATGTAATAAGTGGTTGTGTTGCTGTAGGCTCACCAGCTGGCACATATGCAAGCACAGGCTAGCAATGGCGCTAGCAACCCCACACCTACCAATGAAGAGGAAGAAGATGAAGAGGATGAATATGACTATGACTATGAATCTCTCTCTGATGAATATTTATTTATTTATTTATTATTTATTGCAGTGCTGTCGTTAGAACAGTAGCAATAAGGCATGTAAATACTATAGTTCAGAAGTGATGTAGGTAAGTTGTGAGAGGAAGATGTACTAAATGTCCTCCGTGGCATTTTGGTGCAGTAGTCTATAATGCTGTGAAAATAATTTGACTGCGTAGAGGATTTGAGTATGACTTTAACTCCAACTATTAGATGTTTTAACTGTGCAGTGTATGCTAAATTGTAGTGTTTACAAATTATATTTTATATTATTTGTATTATGCAAAAATGATGGTGTTCATAGTGTACTCTATCTGTATTCACCTGTATGGTCTTTCCTAAGGAGTTTAGACACCTGAAAGCTCAAGGTTCACAACGGGCTTAGCCCTTGAATCTGCATGACTGCCATTAAATTGACCTAAGATGCAGATTCTCCAAAGTCCTCCTTGGTTACTGTCTAATCCCAGAATCCCCTGAAGTACGTATTTTAGTTGCACTTTCAGCATCAGCTGTTCACTTCATGTGTAAAGGTAGAGGAGCCACTGAGTCCCTGGCTTGTTCAATAAGATGGCTTCATTAAAGCTTTAGCTGCTCAGTGAAAAAATGGCAAGGCATGCCTTACTGACTTGCCTTGTAAGTTCATGCGCTGTCTAGGCTTCAGCTATCCTAGCCTTCAGGAACTGGCAGTTTAGCATAAATCCACCTTTAGGAGCGGTTTATAGATTGGATATAATGATTGGCATGCCAGAGGTGATAAAAAATACTGCAGTTAGTAACTTCCACTACTGCCTTAGCTCTCCAGTTCAGTCAGGCATGTTTGATTTAACTACAGATGAAGGACAGAGTGTGCCAAACTGAGGTGGCTGAGCTGAAGTCATGCATCTTGTTTTGTTTCTCTTGCTGCGGGGCTGGTAGATACTGGTTGAGCAAACAGCTGCAGTCAGAAGCATTTAATCCTCCCAAGTTTTGTCAAAGGACATTTGTCAAAACCCCCATGCATGGATTGAACAAGCTGGATGCATCTAAATGGGTTACTCATTATTTTTCTTCGGTAATTGTCAGAGAATAAATCAAAGTAGATCACAGTGCGTTTACCCAATGAGACAGCAGTGCTGGTAAAAGTAATACCAAGCTCTTTGGGTAGTTAAATGCTGCACCATTGTTGAACTCCATACATGGGTTGCAAAACTGACCAAAGGGACAAAAAAGTTACAGCTGCGCTTCAGTGTAGATAAACATAAGGTAATACATTTAGGGGAAAAAACTTAAACTTGCTTATGTGATTCTGAGCTCAACAATGGTAGTAGCAATTTGGGAGACCATGGAATTATTGAAAGTTCTCTGAAATCCTCAGCTTGATGTGCAGTGACAGCCAAAAGATGGGGATCATCAGGAACAGTACTGAAAACAAAACATCTTTTTGCTTTTATGTAAAACATTAATGTGCCACAACTTGAGTTCTGTGTCCAGTTCTTGCCTTCAGATCTCAAGAAGGATGTTAAGAGGGAAGGGCAACCGAAAAAGTAAAGGGAGTGTGGCAGTGGCCTTGCACGAGTCTGAAAAGGCTGGAATTCTCCAGCTGGTAAAGAAGAGAACTGAGGGGTAAATTTGAAGCAGGTTTACTAAATCATGAGGTGGTGGATAAGAGGAGTACAGAACTGTTAACTCATTAGATCTAGGAGGTGCTCAGGAAAACAAGTGGAAGATCAGTCTAAAACAAGTAAAGTATTTCTTTGTGCAGCTGGTAGTAAACTTCCGGAATTTGCTGCCACAGGAAATTGCAGAGGCAAACGGTATCAGCAGATTGAAAAAAAGGGTAGGACAGACTCATGGACAGGTTTATAAGCAAATGTTATACGTAGAAATGCATGGTCCAACATCCCTAATATTCAGCAGTTGTGGATGTTGGGGCGGTACAAAGGAAGTGGACCATGACTAGTGACTGGATGTTCTCTTTAAAACGTTGTCACTGTCAGAAAGAGAATGCTGAGCTAGATGAACTATTGGTCTGACACAGTTGGGCACGTTCTCCTAGGTGAAGTACTTCACTCATTGAAACTTTAAGTCTAATGGGTACCTGTTTAAGTTCTAGGTACCGTGTTCAGAGAAGATGCAAGGCTCGAGCATGCCCTGCAGCACAGGACTTCTTTCCAGTTGGTCTCTTATTTACATTACTTGCTTCTATGTTAACAAGTTAAAAAACAGTCACAAAATTAAGGACCTGACACTGCTTGTAGGCTAGCAGTGTTATTTATGCTAATAGGAAGATTTATGAGTTTGGTGCCGGTGCTGCCTTCAGTTGCATTTTGCTAGAAAGTTGGCCCTAGCTGGCTACTTAAGAATATTCCTTTTGTGGGACAGGGTGGTGATAGTGTAGATGTAAATTGCTGTCAAAAACTTAGATCTTTGTTAACACACTTGCCAGGAAAATACTGCAAGCTAACTGCAGTAGGTGATGTTTGAGCAGTGTTCTAGTTAAGAGAAGCTTTGAGAAATCTGGAGATAGCAAGAAACAGTCCCATCTTCCAATATATGAAGGCATCTGCAGCATGGTTTACTGCTTTATTACAATGGTTAGTCGTTGGGATCTTTAATTATGTTGATATTTTGGCAAAACTAATCTAAATAATGGTCTGTAAACTTTCTGAAAGATTTTCAGTTATATTTTCCTTACTGATACATTAGGTTTGCGTAAGGCTAATAGTTTTACAACTGACACTTAATTTTCATTTCTCTGGCTGTAAATCTTAATTTCCTTTACTCTTATTCCCTCTCTGACTGTGTTTCCCTGTAGCTGATGTCCTTAATGCTTCTCCTGCTCCTAACAGCCAGGAAGGTAAAGGCCTTTTGGTTGAGCATTTTAACTGCATGAAATCAGCACTGCATCTCCAGCCTGTTAAATGTGACAGTGTGAATATATAGTTTCTACTTCATAGTAAAAATGCAATCAGCTATTTTTATATGGCATTGTTAACTCATCAGGAACTGTTAGAAGGCTGCATGTGTGGCACTGGTTATGCGTAAAGAGAATATGGTCACAGCATCAGGAATATCAGGAATGAAATAAAACCATTCCTTTTGTGACAGTTACAGTATTTTGGACCAGAAAGACCAAATTAGTAGGTGTATTATTCTCTGATAAATAGGGAGCTTTAAGAGGAATTTCTGTAGATGTACAAAATATTTGTTCGTGGTGAATGTAAGGAGAGGAAAGCCAAAACTGGCTGTACAACGACGTGTACATGTTTGATTTGGTTAATTGTGTTTGGACTTGAGCAATTCTTTGTTGTTCAGGAATATCAGTTGTTTCAGATGGCAAGCTTAATTCATTAGATAATTTTGTTTTAAGCGTCTTCTGAGCACAAAAGGATGGGCTTTTAAAGAAGTGCAACATATTAACCAAAGTCGAGCATTAAATTTTTAAAGTAGAAAGTTACTACTAAAAGAGAATGCTTTATTTTGGCATCTGGTTATTCAGATAAGATTCACAACATTGTCCACAAATATTGTTAATTCAAATTAAATTTCTTCCAGTTGAAATTGTTTGGCTTTATGTTTATTAAAATCCCATTAATTTTTAGATAACATTCTTGAAGACCGCCCTGAGAATAAATTATCAAGTGATAAACTGCAGTTTGAATATAATGAAGAGACTGCCAAACGAATAAAGAAGGCTGATTGTGCTACTTACAATAATAAAGGAAAGGTAGTTCTGCTTTTTCCCCCTTTCTTCTCAGCCACACTTTGATATATAGCCAGCTTCAAAAGGATTTGAGCAGTTTAGGTAACTGAGACATCAGATGGCAGATGCGCTTTAATGAAGACAAATAGTAGAAAGCATGGAAGCACACCAGAGAAAATAGAGTAAATAGAACAAATGCTCAGCATACTGTTCAGGAAAAGTCCTCAGAGGTTATTGTGTATACAGGCTGTTTGGCTGAAAATGTTAACTGTCATTGCTCTCAGTGAAAGACTTCACTGAAGCTAAATCCAGAAGTTTATTTAGCTATCTGATTTCCATTAACATCAATGGAACTGAAGATTTCATCTGAATCTTCAGCATCTTTTGTGTATATATAAGTAACGTATCGCATTATGATATCAGATGGCCACATTACCTTTTATTAAATCATCTGACAACTGAAGCACTGCATTGCTGTTTAGTAAATTGTAGTTTCTCCTGGACGGAGATGGGTTTTGTCTAAATGTTTGTAGAACTGACTCTGATTGAGGCCTTTGCACACTATTCCAGTATCAGTAACAGGTATTGATGCATAAACCTGCACACAGGGGTCAGTTAGGTGAAGACAGCAAACCATATAGGAAGAATGAGATAAAGAATTTTAAGGACCTAAGATATGTGAGAGTACTTTCACATTCAGTAATTTTATTATTACATGTTCCTGGAATTGTCACCTAGGTGTATGATATGGAGCTGGGTGAAGAATTCTATCTTCCGCAAAATAAGAAGGAAAGCAGACAGATAGCCCCAGAGCTATCAGATCTTGTCATTTACTGTCAAGCCGTAAAGTTCCCTGGTAAGTACACTGCCCTGTTTTATTGCTTTAGGCTTTCTAATTCTTGGAGACATTATGTTTATGTCGTACAAGCATTTTCAAATTGAAGTAGTCGAGGAGCTTTTTGCTTGATGATTTGGTAGTCTACATAATAATAGCTCCTGGCTGAGAAGTAGAATACATAAATTATGTGAAGACGTACTGTTTGTCATATTAAAATGTTTACAAAAGTGAAATTTTCCAGTCTTCACAACTTAGACCACTGCTTCATCGCCAAATGACAGACAACAGAAAGCTGTATCTTAAGAGCTCTGAGTTTCCATGTAAGGACGTACTGAATTAGGAAAGAAAATACTCTTCAAACCTTGCAGGAAGAGTTTGGTCACCTTTCTTTAAGTGACCTCAGTTTAGCGTGTTTCACCTTTGCCTACGCTGCATCTTCCATTCTTTCCTAAGTGGATAGGAGGGAAGCCATTTGGTGGGGGAAAGCAGCCTTTTCATGGGGTGGGTGAGGACAGCTGATTGCACGCTCACACACACTCTTTATGGAAGGGGTTAAGGAAATAGGAGGGTTGTCTTTTGTACAGTAGGAAGAAGAGTGTTTGCAGAGGAAAAGGAGAGGGAGTAACTGAGGAGGAGATCACTGATAGTTACTTGTTCAGTATTGAAACATGAGGTTGAGTATGTTTTGGCTCATACTGTGTACATAAATACTTTTAAATTGAAAAATTATTGTTTATTGATGTGCTTAATGTTTTGGATGAAAAATCTGCTTTTTAATGGAGTGGTTCTCTGTGGAAAAGTTAGTGATTCTGCCAAATCATAATCTTATACAAATAGAACTGTAATCAGATTAGAGAAGCTAACCACACATAAAATAGTGTCAAATAGGCAAGATAAACGTGCTGAAAAAATGGAGCGACATTCTTTTATGATCTTCTATAACTTTAAGAGTTGTAGGTGTCACTTGTAAAAATAATAACTTCTAAAAATTCAAATCTGATACTCTTTTTAATGAAATCTGCAATGAGATCTCTTTCAAATAAAATATTTTCTTTTAAAGAATGATACTCAAGATTAAACAGAGACAGTTTAAGTTGTTCCAAGCAGTTTGACACACAAAGGATTTCTGATGTTCTAAGAAAACTTTAACATATTTCCATTTTTTTAATGTAATTTCAGTTATAAAAGAAATACCTGCCTGCCTTATCAGATTTCTTCCTCTTGCTTTAAAGGGGACATGAATAGAACAGTTAAGAAAATGAGTTCCTTTCACAGATGAACACATGAAGCTGTAGAAATTAGTTTTCCAAGAAACTTTGTCTCCTTTGAGACAAATACTGCCTTCTCTGCAAGATATGTAGGCTTCATGGCCACCATGCTACTCATTGGATTCCTCTCTGCTCAGCTGGAGGGCACAGACATGGTGCACTGCCATACCCCAATATTGTCCATTAAATAATGAGAACAAGGCTGGTACATCCATGACTGTGTAGTTCTATTGACCAGTTCCTAACCAACTCAGAAAATGGCAGGAGTTTTGGAAACAGGGCAGAATTCATGTCAGTGGCCCATCAATGATGTAAATATTTTATTTTTCCTGTCGTCTTATATTTCTATTCTGTGTTTACAGTTGCCCGTGTCCCTGAATGTTAATCACTGATTTGTGACTATAAAAAAGGACAAGGACCATTATGTTCACTTATCCTAGCCTACTGAGTAACACAGACTTCCCTAAGTGCTCCCTGGGCAAACCAGAATTTATCATGTGGAGAAAATAACAGTTCTTGTTTATAAAATCTCTGGTAACAAGGAACCCACCACAGCTCTTGTTGTTTCAGTGGTTTTTGACCCTTACAGTCCTTGCTTAACTTCAGTTTCAGACTGTTGGATATCTTCATACCATTATCTAAGAGGGTGAAGGTCTGTTCTTTTGGGTCGCCCAAGATGAGGGCAGTGAAGCATACTTGAGCACAGTACTGCTATAACCAACTGGCACATGCCTCATTGCCTTGGTGCTGAGGATCCTTACACAATGAGTAGAGAAAGTTGAGTACATAAAAACAGGATCTGCACAATCAAGTGCAGAGAGCAGTGAGTCACCTGAGCTAACCAGCATGAAATTCAGTCATCGTCTTCATTGTATCAGACTATCTGCCCCTATGGTATCACTTTTCAAGAAATTAAAGTGAACATAAAAAAGGGCACGCTACATACAAAAGTACTGTAAATTCTTTTTCAAGGTCTGCAAACCTGCAGACTAACTGAGTGTTGGTCTGAAACACATGGTGCGAAGGTGACAATTACAGTTTAACATGTTACTTTAGCCTGGTTAGGATAAGGAGAGCAGGGAAGTTTTCCATCCTCTGGATTAAAAATCTAAAAGCAGTAAAGCAGTGTGGTTATATCTAACGTAAGAGATGGGCACTAAATTCTGTAACTGGAAGGATATAGCATAGGGGTTGTAACATCTACTCTGTCATGATGGTAGTATGATAGAATCTATGTGCAATATGGTGGGATCTAAGCTGGTCCTGCTTTGACCAGAGGGCTGGGCGAGGTGACTTCCAGGTCCTTGCCAACCTCCATTATTTTACAAATTTATGATTCTGTGAATAGGTGATGCTATATTTTGGAGTCAAGTTTAAATTGGAGTGAAAATTTGAGCTTGTGTCTGGGAGGAGGCATGTCACATGCAAAGCACGGCCATGGGAAAGCCTGAAAGAAAACTCCCAGCTGCAGCTCACCCTGTGGCCATCACGTTGGGTTCAGCTAACCCTGGTGTTTTGCGTTGCACTCTCTGGTCATTTATGAGGTTAGTCTGTTTCCTCAGTGACTGTCTCCACAACAGGATTTTGAAACACGGATCTTGCTTGCCAAATCCATTTGATCCATTGAAAACTGGGATTAAATAGTGCTGGAAGCACACAGTGCATAACTCCTCATTCTTTTAGTGTAGTTCATATTCCTTGATCTCAGCTTCTACCATCTTCTGTGGTTTCTGTGTATGCTTTGGCCCAAAGAGACAGTACATCTCCAATGCTGAAAACATTTGTGTATATCCTTAATTTTACTAACCCAAGCAGTTCTATTGAAACTATCAGGATAATTTTACTAAGTACATGTAGACATGCCATAAAGATTGAGAGCTGAAAATTTACAGCTGTGGACAGACTTCAGTAGAAGAGAGTCCAGTGTATCCTCTTTGTGATTTACAGTTGTAGTCGAAACATTAGTATTAAATCCAGAACTGTCTTCAGGCAGCTGTGAATTGATGTGAGTTCCTGAGGGTTGTTTTATGAGTCACACTTAGGCAAATAACGTGTACTTGCTTTGTTGTATTTTATATCAGAAGTACATCTTGGGTCTCTGAGAGCATCCCGCACCTCACTGCTGTGGGTGTCAGAACAACTGTCGTGCGTTTTGACTTACTTTAATTTTGGTCTGCCGTGTGCTCTCTCCAAGTCAACAGAAAGAAACTGGCCTTAAGGGGGATCAAGTCTGTTTACTTCACTGGGATTTGGATCATGATTTTAATGGTTATTTTTCTGGAATGCATATCTTTAAATAATAGCTATACTAGAGCTTTCCAGCTCCACTTCTAGTACGTATTGGCCATTAAATGCTTAATGGATTTTGCACACCTACCATATTTCCCACCGTTAAAGTACAAATTCTAAACACAAGAAGATAACTCTGAAAACATCTTGAGGTTAAACTGTTTAACCAACAGCATTTGGGCTTTTGTGCTTTACGTTGTATCTTTAAATCATATTTTTGCATTTATTTGATTATGTAGGTATCCTATCCTAGGTGAATTCCATTATATTCACTACTGTACAGATTTATTGCTTCTGGAGAAAGGATTTTTTTTTTAATTATTGTAAGGATGAATACGTTGGGACTGTTACTGCAGAATTTTTTAGTATTAATTAGGACCATTTGGTAATTTGAGACAGAGCCACTACCTTCCTCAAGCCAAAAAGTAAAATGAAGAGTAAAATGGAGAAAAGTTATATCACAGAGAGATAACTGTGTATCTGTATTGCTTCATGTACGTTTTTATATACATTAAATAGAGATACATAATATATATGTATGTAAAGGCATGCATGTACATAAAGATGTTAAATTATAGAGAAAAATACACTGCTTGCCCTGTGTACTATATAACAGGGGTATTCATGCCTTCAAAAATAATGTAAGATATGATGGAAAATGTCATGCCCTCTTGGTCATGTTTTTTGGCTCATTTATTTTACATTAATGGGAACAGGCTTGTCAACTCTAAACCCATCTGGCTCTAGCAGAGGAAAAGAAAGAAAAAGCAGGAAGTCCATTTTTGGCAACAATCCTGGCAGGCTGAGCCCTGGGGAGTCAGCTACTCTTGCCAAAGCATCTGGAAAAGGTAAAGTTAGCATCTTCTTTCACCAGTCACGTGGAATGACTCTGTAATCCAACACATGTACCAGACTGAGTTGTTAAAGATCAAATACTTTACAATGTGTAAGATCTTGAACTTTGGAATGGCTTTTTGTTAGCACAGCAGCTATTACACTAACACTATTATAACTGAAGTGTTGAGTGTGGAATGCTAAAATAGGATTACTTGGTCAAGAATACGAAGACCCTAATTCATAAACTATTCAAAACTAACAAACATTTTAAGTGTTTAATATTAAAGTTTGTATGTTAAAAGGTATGAATGAATATTTTCAAAGTACAAATGGAAGGCAGAACTGTTGGGCTGGATCCAGAAAAGGATTTTTAGTGTCTGAAGTAGGACTTAGTTGCCTAAAATTCAGCCAAGTCCAAACGTGTAATTGTGCAAACTCCCATGTTTCACCTTGGAGGTATTTAGACTCCGCAGGTGATTCAGTGTGTGAACTTGGAAATTGTACTTCTGCATATGGACAGACGTAGAGCAATACAAAGAAAGTACAGAAAAAGTTCTGGAGCAGGGATGAGACCCAGATCCCCTGTCTTTCAGATGAATGCCATAAACAGAAAGTTACAGAGTGGTACCCTTTCTTGTATTCATTTTCTGGCTCAGGGAACATTGCATTTCTTTCAGCCCAAGGGCACGGCTGCAGCAGACAGGTTAGATTCCCTTCTAGAGGCCAGTGTCCTAAAAATGAAGTCTAGCGCCTAATTCTAGAGGATATAAGTATTTTGCTGGCTTTGTCCCCTAACTTTTAGGGCACTCTGTAGATGGCCTGTTTGGAGGCTTAGCAGATGGATTGCAGTCTTGCCTTCCTTCCTCATGTAAAATGTATAAATAAGAAGAATGGAATTTTATTCCATTATTTTATTCAGGTAAATGCCAATTAAGTATTTATTTATGCAAATGGTTGTTAGCACCTCTAGTCACAGTATCATTTCAATACTTAAACGTTACGTTTCCTCTCATGGATTGTTCTTACTGTAAAAGGAGGAATGTGACACTTATACTGAGTAGTATCATTTTCCAGGATCACCTTTTTCTACCATAACCAAAGTATACACACATACTTCACTAGAAAACATTGAATTCTTGGAGTCTCCAGATCTGCAGCTGTAACTTGAAGGTACTGTTTATTTTCCAGGTCCTTTTGATGTGATGCGGCAGACCTGGGAAGATCCTTGCTGTCCGTACAACTCTCCAGCTTCTCTCAGTGCTATCATAAGGACGCCCAAGTGCTATCATATCTCCTCCCTGAACGAGAACGCTGCCAAGCGGCTGTGCAGGCGGTACTCTCAGAAGCTGATCCAGCACACCACCTGCCAGCTCCTGAGGACGTATCCTGCTGCCACGCGCATTGACTCCTCAAATCCCCATCCACTGATCTTCTGGCTCCATGGCATACAGCTCGTGGCTCTTAACTACCAAACAGATGGTATGGGTACACAAATGCACATTTTAATACATTTTAAATGTGAAGTAAGTCCTTAAACTGTGAATATGTATTTGATGTTTGCTTTTACCTGCTGTCACGAGGGGAAGTACCCATCTGTGTGCCCCAGCACAAGCATACCATGATGATCTGGTCCTTGAGAGTAGCGATCCCAGCGTTCAGGAGCTTTATGCCAGTGCAGCAGATCTCCTGAAGCACAGAAGTGCCTGGACAGCAACACCTTCCATTTTTATTTTTATTTTATTGCTGAAGGTTGTTTTTTTTTCCCCAGTTCAAGTAGCTGTTTTCTCTTTCTGATAATTTCAAGTATAAAAAGGCACTGAACTATTTTTTACTTAGAAGCGCCACCTTGGATCCTGGTTTAATGTTGATCAAAACGTTTTGGGGCCATTTTCTATCCTATCTTGTGTTCCTTCACCTTGTCAATGGGGGATCTATTAGGTCATCTACAAAGCTACACAGCCAATGCTTTTTCATTCTGCAGTTCAGGGCAAATACCTAGAAATTTCTCAGAGAATAGGTGTAGGTAAGCCCTACAGTTGCATAAAGACAACGGAAAGGGATAGAAAAGAATGAACTGTTCTTATAGTTTTGTATGATTAAGCGTTGGATAGATTGGATGCATAAATTACAGCTATCTCTGAAAACCAAGAATGAATTGATAGTATGTAACCAAAATAATAAAAAAAAGATACTTAAAACATGTCTTTTTCTTCACTGTTAGAGTTTTTCCGTTCTACTATTGCTTTGTCAGTTTTGGCTGCCTTCCTTTCACAGATCTTCCTCTGCAACTTAATGCAGCGATGTTTGAGGCTAATGGCGGCTGTGGATATGTTTTGAAACCTCCTGTTCTGTGGGATAAAAATTGTTCCATGTACCAGCAGTTTTGTCCATTAGAAAGAGATCTTGATAATAAGGAGCCAGCTATATATTCTTTAACAGTAAGTACATTAAAAGGGAATTTCATACAGCCAAACAGATAGAAGTAGACAATGTTTAACTACAGTCTTTTAAGTCTTTACAGTCATGCTTCTGTATGAAAAGATTGAACCTTTAATTGTTGCTTGTACTTCTGAACGTCAGCATAACTAAAAGAAATTGGAGGGGGAAGGTGCAAATAATTGTCTTGATTTTGTTTGATTGGCTGGTTTGTATCCATGGTTACTTTCACTGTTTCCTTTACAATATTTGTTGAAACCCAGTCCTGAAAGCATTTTCCCTGGGACTACACAACTGTGTAAAATTATACATGTGCCTGGATGTTTCACACATTTGTGAACACTTGAAAAGCTACATAAAAAGCCATTATGAAAAGCTGTACTGAATATTAAAAACATGTTTTTAAAAAAGTTTTATAATAAGATATATCAGTCATGGATTTATGGCCAAAAAAATGTATTCTAAGCAGCTAGTCCCTTCCAGGAAATGTTTCGGAAAAGTGAGATTCATGAGAATCAAAATTCCCCCAGCTGCGGTAATTGCACACCTACTTCTTGTGTTGTGTATGCCAAAGCAAGCCAGAGGTCAGTGCCATCACCCCAGAGCAATGGAGAAGCAAATTTGATCCTTTTTGACTACGTTACTGGTACATTCCTTCTGGATTAACATTCAGATGCCTTGAATGGTTACACTCATGATGTATAGTGTATTTTTTTCAGAGGAAAGATACCGTAGCAACCGCATGGCGGGGGTTGAAGCAGCTCTGCTTCTGAAATTACTGCCCTGGCAATTACAAAAGTAGGGGAGTGTTGTAATTAAATCAGCCTGTTAACAAACTGTGCTTAGGAGTGTGATAAACAATATTTAGCTCCACTAACTGGTTTCTCTGTGTACTCCTCGGCTTCAGATTGTGTCCGGACAGAACGTCTGCCCTAGCAATAGCACGGGCAGTCCGTGCATTGAAATCGATGTGCTGGGCATGCCTCTGGACAGCTGCCATTTCCGGACGAAGCCCATTCATCGCAACACTCTCAACCCCATGTGGAATGAACAGTTCCTTTTCCGGGTTCACTTTGAAGATTTGGTCTTTCTTCGGTTCGCAGTTGTTGAAAATAACAGCTCAGCTGTAACAGCTCAGAGAATCATTCCCCTAAAAGCTCTAAAAAGAGGTACAGTATAGTTTGTAGTGACACCCTGCGCCAAAATGGTCCAGCAGATCCCTGGACTGAGTCCTGCTGGAGGGATATTTTTAATCAGCTGGTTGCATTTTTCTAGAGGAGACAGGGAGCAAGTAGCAGACAGCATACTTTGCCCTGGCAGTACGATGCTGATCGAATCAGCTCTCTGGGAGCTGGAGGCCGCCCCAGTGACTTGTAAAAAGTCAGATCTTGTGCTGTTGCAGAGATGGGAGCATCTTGTAGGCAGTTGCTCCGATCCTGAGCTGTGGCTGTGAGGTTGTGTTCACCTTGAGACTTGCTGCTCCCGTAGGAAGCGGGGAGCGGTTTCACTCCCTGCCTTGTCCTTTGCCCAACACACTGCTGTAACTGGTGGTCGCTGGGCAGAGGGGAATTGCACTTCTTGCAGCTGTGGCGGGAGGAGAGGTGAAGGAAGGGTGAAAAAAGGTGAGAGAGAGATGAGGAAGCATCATTAATTCTGGGACGTCTGAGGGAGGGCGTTGGCATATTGCCAGCAGCTCTTCAGCAGAACAGTAAAAACACTTTCACGTTCGCTTCGTGCCACTGTAATACCACACAACAGTCTTAGCATATGAGGAGGTCTGGCCATAGACATGCGTTTTCCCAGTGAGAATTTATCCTTGTTTCATTCATATTCTAATATTTAGCTATTTCGTGTATTAATATATTGAATAGTACAGCAAAACAAAGGTAGGCAGCTCTATGAGCCACTCAGCAGTTCATAGCATTTGGGTTACACTGTTGTACAACAGAGAGTGTTAATGCAGTGTTATTACGGTGCTTTAAACCCTATAGGTGTGGCAAACTGTAGCTATAAATACAGCAAATTTGAGTTTTCCATTTATGAGACTTGTGTCCTAGGATGTGGCAAAGTGCTTACAGAAGGGTTTTTTTCTCTTTAGGCTATAGGCATGTCCAGCTCCATAACCTGCACAATGAAGCATTAGAAATTTCTAGTTTGTTCATAAACAGTCGGAGAATGGAAGAAAGTCCCTCTGGAAACACCCTGCCTGCGTCTATGGTAATTTAATTATTTTTTTGTGAATGCCATGTATTCTTGTCTTAATGACTACTATGGTCTGAAGACTTCTAGAACCAGACTGTCCAAAGATGTTAGCCCCTAAACCTGCACATTTTTCAGAAGTACCTTGATGCCTAATTCTTTTGGGGTTTGATGGAAGTAAGGTTCTCCCACCTGGCTAAAACTGCGGGAGGGTCAGTCTTCCGAAAGTCTGGCTTTTGGTGTATTCAGGTATAGCATGAGAACTCCTGTGCTGGAGGAGGAGCGTGGCTGAGCAGTAAGGTTCAGAGCTGCCTCATGCATTCCTTTATGCATGAATCATAAGCAATGCATTTGGGACAAAAAAAGAAACATGCGAATTACCAACAACTGTGGAATAATGAGAGGAAAAATGAATTCTGTTACAGGAAATGATGGAGTCTGTGTTTGCATAAATACATACATACTGATATATGTGTGCACGCGCATCTATATGCTTACATGTACAAATACATATACATACACATACAGGGGTGTGTGTAATATATATATGACAATACGTATGTATGTATGCATGTATGGATATGACAGGGTTTTTTTTTAAATAGCCCTTAATGTTAGGTTACCTGAGTTACTTGTGTTTTAGTAACTTTAAGCATGTATATTCTAATTTTGCTGATTCCTGACGTGTTAGATAAAACCTCCTGAGCTACTGCGTGTGCAGCAGGTGTGTTGCAGATGCTGTCCTCCTGTGAACACATGCCAAACACGTATCTTGGTGAATTACTAGGGCAGAAAGGAAGGACATAAATGGCTTGGAGGGTAAAATGAAGCTATAGATTTTCATCCAGTAATTCGTACGCTGAATCCAAATAGTCTGAGCTCAGCTAGAATACAGACAGTGAGCGATGGAGGTTTACCCTGTGTTCAGTGGCAGTTTATGTACTCTCACTGGAAAACCTCCTTTTTCTTCTTTCTCTTCAGTTTCAAGGTAGGGTGGGGTGGGTTCTTTTGGGGGTTGGTTTGTTGAGGGTTTTTTCAATGCCTTGATCTGTAGTGCAAGAGACATGTGTTAGCTGGATAGCTTTGCTCTGTCAAGGTCCTTACAACTTGTGTGTACAGTTTCTTTTAAGCAACCTAAAAATAACACGCCTGTGTAAAAACATTCGGTAACCTGTTGAATGTTGTCTGAACAGTTGTTTAGCATGGGGGAAAGGAAAGCTGCTGTGAGTTACAAAGTGACAATTCATGGAATTCCAGGCCCGGAGCCTTTCACTGTTTTTAATGTAAGCGGGGGGACCACAGCTGCACAGCTTCTCCATCAGGTAAGTTGCTCGCTGAATCGCAGGCTCTAATTGCAGGAATCCACACTAACATAATTCCGGACGTTGATCTCCCTGCATTTCTCACATGCAGGGTCACTGTCGTTCATTCTCACGGCAAGGAGGTACTTTAGAAACGTATTACTGTGGAATTAATTGCATTGCAAACAGAGATTATCATCAGTGGAATTTTCCCAATCTTGGCTTCAAAGAATGGGTTTATCATTTTAGACCATATTCCCTATTATAATCTTAATATTTGGGCATATGCAGATGAGAAAAACAACCTTTCTAACGAATGGAGGCAGCGGGCTGTCCTTACAACAAGGGCAAACATTTCTGCGCAATTCTTTGAACTTGAGCACCATAGGAACACAGAGTAAAAGCTAGAGGGCTAAGTTCATGAGTAGAAAAACCAGTTAACTCAACAGGGATTGTTATTCTAGCAGTGGGAAAAGACTGTACTGTCCTGGGATTATGAATAAATTGTCTGGGCAGCCAAACAGGACAGAAATAAGCTTAAATAGTGCTGCCTTGTCTGGAATAGTTGAACTGCTTGGCTAGGCTAAAGAGAACAGTATATTACCCTGGAGTAAAATATCTGAATAATAAATAGCACATCAGAAATCTTGCCTACACCAGCAGAATAGTTACTGATTCTTAAAGCTTCTTTATTCATTCTCATTTATAACTACTAATTATGCCGTGTTTATATTTAGCATTCTAATTGCTGTGTGTTTATTGTGGTCTGTCTTAGCTCTTGGCTACCACAAAAGGCACCGAGTCATGTGCTGCAGACTATTTTCTGATGGAAGAGAAAAGTTTTATATCTAAAGAAAAGAGCGAATGCAAAAAACCACCATTCCAGAGAGTGATCGGTCCTGAAGAAGGGCTAGTGCAGCTTTTGAACAGTTGGTTCCCAGAAGAAGGATATGTTGGAAGGATTATCTTTAAAACCCGAGAGGAAGTAAGTCTGGCTTAGATAAATTGTTATTTACAAAGGCAGCTAAAAATAGCGGTTAGGACCAGGAAACAAAAGGGTGCAGTATTTGTTTCACTGCTTGGTGAGTAATGTCAATGCTGTGTACATCATTTAAAAACAAACTCTTGCGTGAGCACAACTAGACTTCATACACCTGTGCAACACGAACTTCACTCAGCTCCAGGATCAGCTGTGTGGTGTTTAATCATTGTCACTTACTCAACAGTTCAATGGCACTAGCTTCCTTTTTTGACTGATGGTTCTAATTTAATGTAAATCTAGATTTTGACGTGATAGGAAATTAATATAAAGAAAGAAGGATAATAGTTAATACCAAAGGATCATAGATAACAGAACTCCAGACTACAGTTATCAATCAGTTCAGATGTCAGCAACTTCTCTGTCCAGAAAAATTAGAAAGGATTTTAATATTAAAGAACTCTAAAAACCTCAAAGGCCAAGTAAATTATCAGTGATAGCCTAAATTAATGAAACAGGTGATTTCTTTTAATTTAAAGGAGGAAGATGGAGCGATTTACATGGTTTAGTCTAGTCTACCCTTGACTGGTTTAGTGTGGACTTGGCAGTGTAGGTTAATGGTTGGACTGGATGATCTTAAAGGTCTTTTCCAACCTAAACGATTCGATGATTCTGTGACTACTTCAGTTTAAACTATGAGCAAAATATCCACAGCTTGAAAATATGCTAGTGCCCAGGCTGGTGAGAGAGAAACAAAAAAGCAGGAGAAAGACACTTAATGATCTCATTTTCAGAGGCACTTCCTTCGGTCAGTTCAGCATATAATAATGCTTGCTTAGCCTGAACATAGTAATATATGTACACATCTGTTTATATACGCGGATTTTACGTACACAAATGACAGAGATCCTCTGGGTTCCTTTCAAATGAAAAACATTTTTAACTGATTGACACAACTTTTGATAAAGCTTCAATTTGACCAATTACCATTCTATTACACAAATCAGTATTTTGTTTTCCTTTATTTCTAATATTTGGAGCAAAAATTGCTAGGTAGAAATTTGCTTGTGGAAATAGTAGCCTACTTAATTCAGTTGCGTGCAATACTTACTTACTTTGTAAGTTATGTGACCACAAATGTGTCGCTGCCAAACCCCATTCTTTCAGAAAATGTGGCTTAAAATCTGTCTTAGCGTATGTGAAAACGATGCTGTAGTTTTGCCCTGTGATGCTAGTCCCTTAAAGCATTATCTCTAGTTTTGAGCCTTTCTGCAGATAGCAGCCTCAACTCAGATCTTGGAGCTAGAAATGAAGCTGCAAATCTGCATGGAAAAGTAAGGAGTGGGTCCACTTGTAGGGTGTGATATGCAGCCCGCATTTACAGCTGATGAATTCAAGCTGTGTTAGAAGGGGTTGGAGAGAAATGCATTACCTGAGAGAAGGTGCAGGGAGGAATTCTGTCTAAAATTTACACTATTCACAGAGCCTGAAAAAGGACAGAGACACAGCCTTCCCCTTGCTCCGCAGGAAAACGTTCGCTCAGACTTCCTGCCCTCCAAATTCTTTTGGCTTTAGTGCAGGGAGAAGAAGAGAAAAGGACAGTTTCCACCATCTCCCATCTTACTGTGACCATTACATGACAAAACGTGATTTTGCATACGTAAGGAAATAAAGGATTTAAATGATCATTTTTGCATAATGTCATACTATGTCTCCATTCCTTGCCTGCTATGAAGAGTATTTCAGACACTGATTTTAGAAACACAGGTATTTATTATTAGCAATAGTGGCTTGTCAAAACGCTTATATAGAAGACTTGTATTTAATGAAATGGACCTGGGGCAACAGCACAGTCTCCAGTTTTCATGTGATAAAAACCTTTTGTGACCACCAGCTATTAGTTACCCCTCAGAAGTACATTAATCTGGCTCTGCTTTTTTCCTTAGAATTTAAACGAGAGAAACGTCTTTCAAGAAGCAAAGGAAGATGCATCCATCAGCTCTGAGGACGACAGTTTCTTTGTTCAGGTACATGATGTCTCCCCAGAGCAGCCACGCACCGTCATCAAAGCTCCCCGCTTCAGCACAGCTCAGGACGTCATACAGCAGGTAAGCAACACCTTTCCATTTGGCACGTCTGTAACGTGTAGGGCGGAGGTTGGGTGCACACAAGGTTTTGTTCTCACCGCTAGCTGAGGAATCAGTTCAGTAACCTGAATCTGAGGGAATGCCTTCTTTTTTTCTGCTTTTAAACAGACTCTTTGCAAAGCCAAATACTCCTACAGCATTTTGAGCAATCCAAATCCAAGTGATTACGTGCTCTTGGAAGAGGTGACGAAAGAGCCAGCAAACAAAAAGTCCTCAACATCTAAACCATCTCAGAGGATTCTCTCCGATCAGGAGTGTGTGTTTCAGGCCCAAAGCAAGTGGAAGGGAGCGGGAAAATTTATCCTTAAACTGAAGGAACAGGTTCAGGTAAAAGACTAAATACTTGGCAGCAGGTTTTACAGATGGCGTACGCTCAGCTCAATGGGAACCTATTTTCAATGGGAGGGAGACACGAGTGGCGTGAGGCTGGGTGGGGAGAAGAGACTACAGCAAAAAGCAGATGCCTCTTTTCTCCGCACCTCCCTTTTTCTTCTTTGCAAGACTGCATCAGTTCCATCCAGCAACACGATTCCCTCGCAGCCTGCAAATCCCGTGACAACCGTTATCTTTTGCTACCAGCTTCCCGTTTTTCAGTCTTCTGGCTGTGCATGCCCTGCTCCCCACAAAATAAAAAAAAAAAAAAAAAAGCAGGACTGTTCAAATGGGCAGAACTTAAAAACTATTGGAATAAAGTCCCCTTTATTCCTGCCCAGTGAGAAAGCTGGTTTTGTCCCTTTATCTCAGGCTTTGCCAAATGGCAGGAATGACATACTTGCTGCCACCAATACACAACAGTTGTTGCTTTAAAGTAACTGTGTCATAAGCACAGATTTTTTTTTATACAAGTTTATAGTAAATTTGCTAAACGTATCTTTGATGATGCATAATTTTCAATTAATTTATTCAACGATCAGAAGAATGTGCTTGGCTATGAAAGCACAGCCGCACAGAATTTCAAAAGGGAGGCCTGCTTAGAAATATGTTAGGTGGTTTCATATTAATTCCGTATTTCAGAGCTAAGAAACAGCCTGTTAAACCACTTGTGTGGGCTGATTTATTTTTTTTTTACAGGCAGCACGAGATGACAAAAGAAAAGGCATCTCCTTTACCAGTGAACTCAGGAAGTTAACCAAGTCAAGTAAGCAGTATCGGGGATTCATATCGCCACCTCTGCAGGTCTCGCCAGACAGTCCACAGAGCAAGGATGAAAGGTCTGCGTGCAGTTTGACTTTTAGCGACGTTATGGAATAATGACCACCGCTGCCTGCAGTACGGGCTGTTCAGGTACGAGATACCGATTCTAACTCTGAGCAGTCGCTTAATACGTGATTTACAAAGTTTTTTTTTTTTTCAAAGTTGTAGTTGGTTAAACCATAGTGAAGTACAAGGGACTGACAGAAAGATCCGTAAGAGCCTTAGACGTTGGTGTGCACAGGCACAGTAAGGTCTCCAGTTACTCATTATGGCATTTGCACAGTGACTCAGAATGGTGTGAAGACTGCAGCTTTACCCACTTTCTTTGCCCATTTAAAAAACAAAACCAAAATGTTGCATCCTGGTTGATTTTATAGTATGTATTTTAATCAACTAACTGTGCTGAATTAACCATTACTCTTTTGCTCTGGGCCAAAGTAAATAGAAGTATCCAGTAGAGCTTTTGTTATTTTTTTATTACATGCATATAATAAAATCATCAGGATTGATGATCTCCTTTTTAGCTAAAACAAGTTTATAGTGTTAATTTCTCTCTGTGGAAATTTTGCCAGAAATGTTTAAACATTTTTACTATCCTTTCTGTATCTCCAATTTCTTCCATCTTGCTTGGTTTAAAACAACAAATGAAATAAGCAAGGTAAGACCATCCCGTTTATATGAAGACAGTACGTGTAACTTGTCCACTGATGTATGCTAACCAGATATTCGCATAGTGCTACTCTGGCATTCAGAAATCATCCGAGAAGTTACAGCTCGTTGTAAAAGAAGAAGAAACCTTTCTCAGTGTTGATAATCCCATCTCACATATGGCCAATTTAATATTACATTTTTCTATCCACATACACCTAATTATTACAGCATTATTTGACAGGCACTGCCATACTACTGCTAAATCATTATGTTAACATAATTCAAATAATATTTTCATTTGCAAAATATTTCAACTATGAAGGGACAAATTTGATACCTTATTTCTAGGCTACTATAAAAACCCTAAACCATCAAATCAATCTGAATGCAAGAAAAGCAAAGTAAATTATGGAAAGATCCCAGTCACGTTCCCTCTTCTTCTGCACTTGTTCTTTCATTTTTTTGAAAACTGGAATTTACATCACAGACTCCTTCTGCAGTGCCTTTGAAGGAACCTGCTGCGGTCTGCACTCGTCAGCAATTGCGTGCCCTGTGCTATAGATACTTAATCCAGGCAAAGCTGCTGGATTAACATCCAGAATCTGGGAATCCTAAGTGGGATGTTGTAGATTGGAAAGATGCCTGTCAGCTATCGGAAGATTCTCCCCTTCCCGTATCTTCACATCTGCAGATTCTCCACAGGCGGATGAAGAAGTTTTCTTGGACTGTATGTTGCAAACAAACACGTGTTGTCACCCTCCCCTTTTTAAACAAAAGATAATTTTAGCTAGTTGCCTGAAGGCAGAGAACCAGAGTGTTCTTTTATGTGTATTATATTAAAATAATGCACTTTTACCTGAAGATTTCTGTTAAACACTGTGTTAAGTGATTGTAAAGAGATTTAAATATACTGTAACTTTCTTCGCGTATCTGTTTAACTTTGGTGAATATACACAAAATGCTCAAATTATTTATGGTTTATCTACCTTAACAAAATAATGTACAATAGCTAAATACACCTAACTGTTAGTGATACTTCGACAAGGAACAACATTTACTTCTTTTAAGTTCTAGTTTTCCAGGCTTGTGTTCAAAGAAAGAATATTTATTATCATGTTCCAAAGTACATGCCATTGTATAGTATATTTATCATATACTACTTCTTAGAAAATGCAGAATTTTTACCTCTCTCTGGATTTAGAGGAAAAAATGTTTGAACTTTTCTGGTTGTTTCTTTTCAGCACAAGACATTTAATACCCAAAACTGACCAAATTCAAAACAATGCATTGATAAATGTAATTAACATTTCAAAATTTTGGATTTAAAATACGTTTTTCCTTACAGTCAGGAAATGCCTTTTTACTTGTCTGTTAAGCCCAGAGAGTATAAAGAACTCTTATGTTATAACTCGTGACATTTTTGTTTACATAGAAACACTGTTGTAAAGTTTTATGTTTGCTGAATTCATCTTTTGATATTTAAGTTAGTTGTGGTTGTCTCTTTTTTTCCTCCATGGGAGTTATTAATTAACGTGCTTAGTCTATTAAAGCAATCCATATCAACTTACAGGGACGCAAATGAAAAAATTGCTGAAACCAGTCATCCCTTTGATTTCCCACATGAAAGTATCTGTGGTGAATAAATCGCTCTGCACATGTTTTGTCTCCCTAGAGCAATCCCTAAACGAAGCATTTCAGTTACCTGGTGTGACTAAATCAAGAAATCCGTTAATATGGGGAGCGATTCATGCTCTCAGCTTTTCCACATCAACTTTAGCACTCGAGCACAAAATGCTGCTGCTCCTAAGAGAGAAGCCGCATCAGGCAAAGGACAAACAGCAATGTAACTAACATCAGGTTTACTTTTGGTAGTGCAAGGACGAAAGGGAAAGAAGTTATAGGCAGTAGTCCTGTGACGATCCCCCCCATAATTAGAAAATGAAATAAAAGAAAGCAAAGGCATTAATTGGCATATAAACAACAGGCAGACCCTGCATTCTGTCATCAGAAGCTGTGAAGTCTTTCACTATACACTACAGAAAATTCCTATAAAGTAGCCATTACCAAAGCAAAAAAGTGCCCTCTTGAGGTCATTTCCAGCTTCCAGGCAAAACAACCACAGACACACCAAAAAAAAGTCAAATTTCCCTGTGGCATAGCCTCCCAGAGACCAGGCACTTCCCACTGCTTGTCATCTGTACCGATGTAGCAAAATAGCATTTTGCAGTTCAGCGAGCATGACTGAATTCAAACCCCAACCACTTCCTCGCTCAGCCTCTTAACTCCGCATTACCAAGGCTAACTACGTAGCCAGCCCCTGCACGAAGGAGGGCTGCTCGCTCCCTAGCCCACGCCCACTGCACGTGTGTAGCGCAAGACTGATACCAAGTGTTAGAAGGGACAACTTACCCCTAGTTTTATATGCATAGTTTGCTTTGGAATACTTTGGATTTACTGGGAAATACTTACATCAACCTACCACACAATTAACTAATCCAACTTTTTTTTTTTTTTTTTTTAAATGTTAGTTTCATTCTCTCTGTTATTTTAACACAGTGGCAGTTTCCCATCGCAAAGATTTTTTTTTTTTTTTTTTCTTTTGGTGTTTTTATGGCATTTTAGAAACAATACTTACTTTCCTAGAGAGTTTGCCCTTACCTATTTGGCTTTTTTTGTTGTTGTTGTTATATTCAGCAGCACTGAAAATAAAATTCTTAGTATCACCTGTAGTCTGGAAGACACACTTGCTAATTCATTAGCTTCAACATAGAAAGTTATTGCACCCATGTCGTCATCCGCTAATGTTTTTCTGTCACATAGACTTAAAAAGAAAACTAAGCCTTGGGAAATTAAGGGACAACGGTAGCCATGTCACATTGTATAATGCAGGGCTAACACTAGCCTGCAGTTTAGTGGCAATTTAAAAACAGTAGTTTTGTACTATTTCTACTAACACAATAGTTCTCTAGCTGTGGGAATAGTTTATTAATGTAAGTATCTTCCTCATCAATCACGGTCTAAAATTGCTTTTGCTGCTGTTTATCACAAAAAAAAAAAAAAAGTGAAAGAGAACAGCAAAATACTTGGCTTTCTGTTAAAAAAAAACCCCACAACTTTATAGGAGGTATGTAGACAGTATATTGTTCCGGTATTTTCATTAATGTACATATATCACTTAATTTCAAGTTTAGGTATTGGTAAACATCAGAGTAGACTTGACATGTGGAGTGGGGTGGAATTGGAAAGGAAAAAATGTCCTTCCATTTGTGTTGGTTTCAAATACCCCAATACTGAAAATACCCCACCACTTCAAGCATTAAACTGGGAGAGGGGGTTGTTGTTAACTTTTGTGAACGCCCAGTTAGACAGATTTCTTGTTCTGAGTTATTACTCTAACAGGGAAGTTTATTCTACTTAGCCACAGATTTTATTTCTGCAGGAATACCTGTCCATGCATTCCTATGACAAGACTGACGAAATAATTTTGTCCCTTTCTGTGCTTTTGGCTGGGCATGGACATCAATTAGGAAAATACATTCATTTTTACATTACAAACTATTTACAGGAAGCAGCTTCCAGGATAAAGTTTGAAAGAAAGGAATGTAAATAATCAACACCTTCCAGAAACATGCAGTCTCTGAGCGGTAGCAGGCCTCATGCTGAACAGTTTACAGGTGGAAAGCTCATGCTCTGTTGCCTATTGGCAAAAAAACAGAAGTATTTTATTCTAGACTATTTTAAAATCACTGTTACTTTTCTACCAATTTCTTTTATTTTCCTTGCATAGCATGTGCTGCTTACAGTGGTGCGACTGTATGGGACAAAAGTTGGGCGGCCACAGATCCTGGCCCCGTTGCAGTACTGCTCAGTTTGCGGGAACCAGCGCACACCAGGAGGTGCTTCCTGTTGCCTGAAGGGTTTCTTGTTTCTATCTTACTAATCCCAAGTTTAGCAGTTAGAAGAATAAAAAAATACTATGTCAGTTTTAAAAACTAGTCACATTATTTTTATTGCTACAAATATTGCTAGATGAAGTATTTCAATAGCCATCTTTAGAAAGCCATCTGCTTCTAGAAATCATGTGCTTTCAAGAATTAAAGACTTTGACATGGAAATATCTAAATACTTCAAGAACACAATTCTCTTACATTCACAGTTTGTCTTTAAAAGAGAAGAACTTGCTGGTAGCTTTACATTTCAGTGAAAGGCTGAGTCTGCAGCTTCTGAAACTCAGCTGTCTGTTCTGCTCTAACTCTGAATGCTTCAGGCAATGTTTGGTTTTTCATCACTGGCTGTTACTAGTCCGCTATAAAACTCAGTTTACTTTTAGGGTAGCCCACTGAATGTAAGAACGGTGGCATTTTTCCTGTCTGTGATAAATATTTCGTAACTTCAATAGTGACAGA